ATATATAATTAAATATAAATCTTAGATTTCGAGAAATTATTAAGATATAATAATTATCTTTATATCTCTAGAAATAAAGTCTTAAAAAAAGAGCTTATTAATAAATATTATAATAATTTATTATTTAAATACTTTAATATTACGAAGATATATAAATTATTTATTTATAAATATTATTAAAATAAGAGCTTAAAGTAAATTATTAACTATATTAAGATATATAATATTTACTAATAAATTAAAACTTCGCGATATCGCTCTTATAGTAAATTAAATTTACTTTTTATTATTATTAAATTATAAAAGAAAATTTGTATAGATTCTATTATCGACTTATTAGCGAGTAAGTATAAGAATATTATCTACGATATTATTCTAATTATAGTAAATTAATTTATAAAAATAATAAAATATATTTCTATATTTATTATAATCGATATCGCTTAGCTAGCGAAAGTATTTTATTTTAAAATAATATATCGCTATAGTATATTAAATAATATTATTAATAATAGAGATTTTATATTTATTAATAGCTTCTAGTTCGCTATTTACTTTTATTTTAAAATTAAGTAATATTTAAATATCGTTTTTTATTTATAAATCGATAAGTAAACTAAGTATTAAAACTAGATATTAAAATATTTTTTATATATATTTACTAATAATAAGTAAAACGTTTAAATAAAATAACTATTAATAATAGAGTTCGCTTATATAAATAGTTAATATTTCTTTATTAAAATTTTTTTTTTTTAATATATAGATATTATTCTAAAATTTATTAAGAGATTAAGAATAACTTTATTAAAAGAGAGATATTAATTATAGATAATAGAGTAAAGAAGTTATAAATATTAAGAAATAAGATAGTAAAGCGTTTTTATAGCGCTATTATAATTTAATTTAAGTATTATAATAAAATATATTAATTTTAAAGCTATAAGATAGATAATTTAATAATATTAGCGATTAAGAATTTAAAGTAGAAATATCTAAATAAGAAGTTATCTTATAAATTTATAGAATTATTTTAAATTATAAATAAGATAAAAGCGTAAATATATTATCTATTTTTATTCTCGATATATAGAATTTATAATATCTTTTATATATGGTTATTTAAGTCTTATTATAATCGCGATTACGATAATATAATAAATATCTTTATATAAATCTTCGAGCTTATTAATAATAATAAGCTTTAAAAGATTAAAGAAATTATTAATAAGATTAAGTATAAGAAAGATATCTAATATAAAATTAAATAAATTAATTAAGATAAAAAATATAATTAATAACTATTAGATAATAAACTTATTAATATTAGCGAGCTAATTTAAATTTATAAATAAATAAATAATAAGCGAAAGTATTAAGTAATAAATAATAAGTCTCTTATTATTAAAGAGCTTAATTAATTATATAAATTAATAATAAATAAGTAAAGGCGATAAAATAAGATATAATTATCGATTAGATTAGATATATTTTTAGATAATACTTATACTACGCGTATACTCCTTTATACTTATTACTATTAAGATATAAATTAATAAAATAATTATATTATTTAATTATCTATTAAACTCTATTATAAAGAAGATTTATTATATTAGAATATATATTATTAATATAAATATATTTTTATCTAGAATAGCTATTAAAGAATTATTTAAAGATCTTACGCTAGCGTTATTATTAAAAAAAGATTATTATTTAAGTATTCTTCGCTATCTTAATATTAAATATTAAATTAAATTAATTAACTTAATTCTTTAATAAGAAGATAATTAAAGTATAGTTTTTAAGTTAATATTTATTAATACTTATTATATATAAAAGAATAAGATAGAATTAAATTAGAAAATCTTGAATTTATATATATAGTTAATTATAAATTTAAGATTACTACGCTCTTTAATTAGATTAACTAAGTTATCGCGAGTAAATAAATTAATATCCGTAACCATACAAAATCTCGTGCCTTCCGCGCCTTCCTTATTAAATTATAGATATACGTTATTTATAATAATAATAACTTTTTTATTTTCTATTAAAATTTTAAAATTTCTTTTTTAAATTTTAAAGCGCTATTTGAGCTTTTCAAATTTTTAAGAATTCTAATAATTTATCTTATAATCATTAAAGCGTAAGGAATTTAAATATCGCTTATTAAAGTTCGCTTACTAAAGATCCCCCTATAACCTATATAGTCGATAGCCCATTAGTTACTCTAATAAAAATGACTATAAATTTAATTTATAGGCCTTTACTCGTTTATTATATATCGATAAAGACTCTTAAGCTTCTTCTTTAATAATTTATTTATTCTTCTTTTAATTTTATTATATACTTATTTATCGCTATAAATTAATCTTAAAAATTTATAATTATAATAAAAATAACTAAAGTTATTATTATTATTTAACTCTATAACTTATATTATTAAATAATCTTTTTATTAAGATTAGCTTATCGATAAAATAACTTCTAAAATTATTTAATATAACGATAGCGTTATATTAATATTCTTATCTATATTTAAAGATATAAAGAGATTTTAATATAGCGACTAATATTATATCTTTTAATCTTATAATTATTATAAAAAAAGACTTATTTTAAATATATAAATTATTATTTTAATAAAAGTAAGTTTTATATAATAAATTAGATATTAGAATTTATTAATAGATATATATATAAAGATAATAATAATAAAAGTAGTTAAGAGTTAGTAATTACGTTTATAAGACGACTATATACTTATTATTAAAGTTATTATTATTATTAAAAAAGAATATTATAAAATTATTAGTTTATATATTAATATAATTAATAATAATAAGATACTTATAATAAAAAGAAGTAAACTACTAATATAATAAGATATATTATATTTATATTAATATTAATATTAACGTTATAGCGTTAAAATAAGTACTTATAAAAAAGACGTTAGAAGTTATAAAGAATAAAAATAAATAATTTAAAAGAGATTTTTATATTTTTTATCGTAGTACTAATATTAGTAAATAGTATTTAATAATATAGATAATAGCGATATAATAATATTTCGCTATTATCTATAAAACCGCGTTATCTAACTATCGTTATTATTTCTATTATTATTATTAATTAATAATCGAGAGCGTTATTATAGCAACATGTCGCTTTATCGAATATTTTCTTTAAATCTTTATAATAAAGATTATTATTACGTTATTTCGCTATAAATATAATACGCTATAAAAATAACGTTATCTATAAAAAAACTCTTCTCTCTTCTTTTATCTATTAAATTTTCGAGATTTTATTATAAATTTTTAAATCTAATATTATTCGCTATAGAGGCTATTAACTAGCGTTACGGGAATATTAATATTAAGCGTATTAATTTATTATAGATTATTATTAACTAGTATTATAAAAGTAATATTATTCTTAAAGATAGTATTAATATTATTATATAATATATTAGTTACGCGCCTATAACGTATAAGAATTAATTCTATCGCGTTATCGAAATAATATTATAATTTTAACGAATTAACTCTTTTCTCTTATTTCTCTATTAAGATTTAAAGATTTTTTAATAAGCGTTCTATTTTTATTTAAACGTCTAGGGATTAGAGCTTAGAAGAAGAGATAATTATTAGATCTAATACGTTATAAGCCTTAACGCTACTTACGCTAAGGCGCCGACATCGTATATTCTATATTAAGATCTCTTTTAGAGTTTAGTTTTAATAACGTATCTCGTATACTTAGAGACTTAACGAATATAGATCTACTTCGTATACTTCGAAGTTTTAGTATTTTTTAGAGATTAGTTCTACTATTAAATATACTATTAAATTCTATAACGATACTACGTCTTTTATAGTCTATATTCGCTAGCTAATCGTTAGTAAACTTTTTTTTTTTTATATTTTTTTTATATTAAATTAATTTTTTTTTTAAAAAAAAAGGGAGTTAGTTTTGTTTTTTTTTTTTTAAATAAAAAAATATTTATTTTTTTTTTTTTTTTTTTTTCTTTTTTTTTTTTTTTTTTTTTTTTTTTTTTTATTTTTTTATTTTTTTTTTTAGGATTAAGGGGAGTTAATTTTAATATAATATAATAAAAAAATTTATCTTTTTTTTAAATTATTTTTTTTTTTTTTTTTTATTAATTATTATTTTTTTTATAAATAATAATTTAATTAATTTTTTTTATTATAATAATATTATTTTTTATTTTTTATTAATTATTTAAAAAATATTAAAAATTTTATTTTTAAAATTTTTTATATTTATAGAGAAAAGATATTTTTTTTTTTTTTTTTTTTTTTTTAAAAAAAAAGGGTTTTAAAAAAAAAAGGGGGGAATAGGGAGATATTTGGGGGAGTTTTTTTTTTTTAAGGGAGAAAATGAGTAGAAAAAGGTGGTAAAGGGGGGGGTATTAGGCTCTTTAACTCTACGAAGCGAGTAAATAAGTATATACGTAGCTATATAAAGCATCGTCACTAGAAAAATGAAGCTATCCAAGAAAAAGGTCAGATTTATTAAAATGCCAAGCATACCAAGAGATTTAGCGCATGTGCAGGACTTTTGATGCCACCCTCCGTACAGAGATCGACAACCAAAAGTCCTGCACATGCGCTAGTGGCAAGCAACCAAAAAATTTAGCCAAAGAGCCTAGATTTCCTGGAAGTTCATAGACTGAACTTGGAACGGAGATTAGTTGAGCCTGATGGGTGCATGAACCCTCAAGCGGGTGCTAGGTACTAATCCCAAGCAACTCTAAGCGCATTGTCCAAGCAACGCTCGGGGCGGGGTGTTAGCACAGAGCTAGATCCTTTTCCTGGCGGGTGCAGGACCTTTGGTATCCATCTCTTTTCTAGAATTCTTCTTTACAAACCCAACAAAGTTAAACGCAATGTATATTTAGGATATTGGATTGAGATATCTTTCACGCACTTATTAGACGGTAAATCAAAGAAAGGAGGACAAAAAATTCCCTCGAGCCGGACTTGAACCGGCGACCTGTGGATAACTAATCGCTAACGTTACACTAATTCAATGTCAGTCAGTTTTACTCTGATTCAGACCAGGAAATAACTTACGTCCATCGCTCTTCCAGCTGAGCTATCAAGGGGCTTTTCATTTTACTTTCTATCTCACATCATATTGTACTTTTTGTGCGGCTTGGCAATCCTTCAATCCTTGGCGCGTTAGCCGAGCCGCGATAGAGTAGGCAACCCTGTCAGTTTGTTCAATATGTTACTTCATCTCCTACTCCAAAGACAGTCCTAGATATCTTAAGGCTTTTACAACAGTAGCGTTCATCATAATCCTCATGTCAGATTCGGAGAAACCTGTACGTTGCATTGGTAAGAAGTGATCAGAACTGGGTCCTCACTAACGAACAACAGAAGCCAAAGGCTCCACCAGAATCACCAACGACTGCGAAATCCTTAGACTTCGATGACGAGACTGCGGAGACAATATCATTTCCTCTAAAATCCCCTCTCTCAACAGAAAAGCCGAAGCCCGGCGCCGAGGAAGACTTTCCCCCTCCCAAGCCACCCCGTCCGTTGGCTCCAGAGCAACAAGCAGAGAACACTTTAAAAGAAGCTTTTCCCTCCATCGATGCTGCAGTTGTCAAAGCTGTCTTGCGAGCTAGTGGTGGGCGAGTAGAACCGGCTTTCAATGCTCTTCTAGGTATCTACGGTCAGGACTTCAGCTCGCTTTAAGGGATGCTGATGGTATTCAGGCATGTCAGATCCAGATGCCGCAGAGCCTGCTCCGCCGCCGCAACCTCCAAGGCCACAACGGGCGCCAACCGGCCCAACGTCTACAGAGGAAAGCCAGCTTGCAGCAGATGAGCGATACGCGCGGCAGCTTGCCGAGCACTACAATGGGGCTCCTGCTTATGGTGAAGGCCCGAGATCTGGATCAGGCAACCGAAGGCCACAGCAACGTGGGCCCCCGAGACAAGCAAGTGGATACGATCAAGACGACGGGCCCAGTTGGTTTGATGGTACGTTCACCCAAGACGGAGCAGATCTCGGTGGAGTCTAACGACCTGACTAGAGGAATTGCCCATTTTGAAGGACAACATTAAAAAAGGCTTTCTCGAAACACAATCGACAGTCAATAAATGGGTTAACAGCTTCAAGAAGAAGATCGATGGTGAAGGCGAAGACGATTTTCAACGTCGACCACCACAGCAAGGCTATCCAGCTCAGCAACAGTCCGATGGTAGGAGGAGCAGTGAATTTGGAAGGCGAAGTGCGGACCGCGAGCGATATGATGCCGATCCACAGGTGCTTGGAGATGATTTTGCTGGCCTCCAAATGAGAGATAATGAGGGTATGTTGTAACAATGTCCAACACACTGGACAATTGAAGGCTAATGGATGTGGCAGCCCAACGGCGCTCGAGCCGTCCTTTGGCAAACCCCGATCTTTTCAAACCAACACCGCCCCGGCCTCAGTCGACTCAATCAGGCCGCCGAGTCTCATTTCAAGAAGGCCCACCAGAAGAGATTGACATTCATTATCCCAAGTCGCCTGATCCAACCAACCGCCCGTCATCTGGCACCGGAGGCAAATCCAGTAAGTGGCAGCCACTTGCTCCCGTAGACCCTAGTCCCGTGGCAGACCATGATCCCTTCAGCCTAGGCGACAGCGATGATGAAGAAGCCAAGAAGAAGGATGTCAAGGCAGACGATAGTGGACGACTGAAGCAGGCAGCGGCGGAGGCCATGTCAGACGATATTGGTTCCTCAGGCGAAAAGGAGCTCGAGCCTCAGGAAAGATCTGGGAGTCTGAAGACGAAGGATAAGGAAACCGAGACTTTGGTGGGCAAGCCTTAATGTTATATCAAGGTTTGGTCTGTAGATAGAGATGACGCATTTTGCTCCGAGCGTAGAGCACAAACATACATATATCATGCATTTGATTTCTTATCATAAACGAAACGCCATTCTCGGGTATCATCCTATGCCATCCCTTATGACTTCATCCCATATGCAGTATCGACCGCTATCCAGACCCTAGGCTGCCTTGCTGCTGAACCTTTGCGCCCTCTTTCCTCAGTTCATGGATCACGGTCTGTATATAATCCCATCAGCGATAGAGATTCCAAATACCAGAAGCTCATCACGCACCGCCAGCGCTTCAGGGTTGACGCCATTCTCGATCAAGGATACACAAAGAGACAGTGTGCTACGGTCCAGATGTGTGTTCTGTGGACCACGGTGTTAGCTCACGCGACTTGGGGACAGAGGGAGGAAAGCTTCTAGTTACAAGCAGGAGAGAGATCTCCGAAAGGATATCAATTACTTCTCGCGCAGCTTGGCGCTTGGATGCCAATTCGACGCTCGGCATTCTGCTTGGGACGACTGGGGTTTACGGAGCTTGAGATGTGTAGTTCTAGTAGTAGGCAATCACCTCGGCTGGGTGACCACGTGACCTACTCGTATGCGAACTCCGAAACTTGTTGCCTCCCGGTGTTTATCGGATAGCGAAAGTTCCGTTAACTTGCAAATCCTACTGAATACGAGTAGCGATGCCAGAGCTATCTAATGTATTTGGACCAATTAAATTTGAGCCACTCACTCTATATAGTGACTACTGAAACGGACAGCTAGAAAGCGTTGCAACGGTGCCAATTCGAGTTTGACCTCTAGGCATCCTCAAAATGCGACCAAATCATGGGCTTCAATCCTCTTCTACAATTGCAACAACGCTCTCGCCATGCCGGTCCTCTTGCTCGGAGCTACTGGGAACCTTGGATCGCGCCTACTGCCTGCTCTCCTTGCTCACAGACAGAAAGTCGTCGTCTATGTCCGAAATGAGCTGAAACTCAGAGAATCGATACCTTCATCCATTCTGTCCCAGGTCACTGTTGTCAACGGTGACGCGACAGATTCAACAAGCATTAAGAATGCTCTGGTTGAAAATGAATGTGATAGCCTCATCAACAGCGCTGGCCAAGCCTCCGTTCTGCCATGGTCAGAGCCTCAAATGCAAGAGATCATAAAAGCCGTAGCTACTGGAGCTGTCGACGCAAGCAAGGAGCTTAATCGCCCGATCAGAGCTTGGTTCATGGGTGGCATGTCGGTCTTAGACTTTCCTGGTATGGAAGGCATTCAACTGATGAAATAGTATGTCGCCCCTCTCGATTCCTGCAGTACCTTAGCTGACTCCAGTCCAGTATCCCACTCTTCACGGAACACAATCTCACATATATCTACCTGTCCAAGCAGAAGAATCTCCAATGGTCGATGTTTTGTCCTAGTAACATGATACCCGCCAGCAAGACTGTCACCCTTCTTGACGCACCTCGTGGCAATCCACTGAATGCTTCGGCTGATGTGCCACCTGGTTTCCAGAATTCATACTTCCATAACATTCCATATTTGGGCCCGATCATCAGTAGTGTCGGCAATGCACCAAAATATGGTACAACCTTGGAGGACTGCGCAGACTTCATCGCAGCAGATTTGGAGAAAAAAGATACAAGATTCGTGGGACATAGAGTTGGTGTCATTGACGCTGGCACCGCAGGCAAGGGCAAGACCGAATGAGCAATGATCCCCATCTGTCCTGAATCAGTCGCCGGCGCTAGCATACTACATTTGATCCAATCATTGTCTGACTCCCATGAATGTGCAAGAGTTGTGGTCGATTCGGTCTTCTGAGTTGGCATCACAAATCGCAGGCTTCTAGCGACCTGCGTTCACGCGTTCTTGTGGCCCTGTTGGTCTTCCTCAAGGGTAATGCTCCTATAAATCATTCCTTATAGGTACTTCGTTCTGTCGAAACTGTCAGAAAGAAGACTGGTAGAATTCTTTTTGGTCATTACCTAACCATTCTCCACTACTGCCCCTCTATGCTTCGGATCTTTCCAACTTTCCCTTTGCTGTTCCTTGCTTAGCGACTGCAGGATAATGTCTTGCATTCAGTATGGAACGTGACTCCTCGTCCAATCAGTGCGAAACGTACTGATGCAGCTCGGCCCGATCCTTGTTGTTTCAATGAGTATATAGGATGGTCTCCCAGGACTTCTTGACTTTCACCTTCCTCGCCTCGGAATTATCACTGCACAGCACCGCACAGAAAGCGCACAATGGCAGAGATATACTATGAGCCCACGGGCTGCAACTGTGATGGTGCGGACTACTACACACCCTACCCTTCCCTACCATTATAAGGTATGGACCGCCAACAGCTCCCACTATTTAGGTACTTCCTACTCTCAAACCGATATCAATGCGGCTGCCTCCCGTACGTATATCTCTGAAACGATCCATCTTGTTTGATATTTGGATTGAGTCAAGACATTTTTCGCGAGCGACCAAGAGGACCTTCCCACTCCCGGGACCGTTCTTGAAACTTCATGTCCTGCCTCGAATTGGTAATGCTGACTCCAAATCTACGCAGAGGCCCTCTCCCTCGCGTCCAAGGGCCAGACCCTCGGTCCGTCGTAACGCTCAGTATCGCCCCACCCCAACTCCGACTGATACAAAGTGAATCAGGCAGGGACAAATACCCCCACGCCTACAATGACTACGAGCACTTCAGCTTCCCGCATGCCTCGAAGCCCTACCTGGAGTTCCCCATCGCGGCCGGAAGCGTGTATGACGGTTCCTCACCTGGCGCCGACCGTGTCGTGATCGGGAGCATCGCCTCCGATTATTCGAGTGCCGTATACTGCGCAGTCATCACGCACGATGGACAGCGCGCGAATGGCTTCGCCGAGTGCTCGGACGATACCATGAACCCGAGGGGTAAGGGCGACTACGAGGGGCAGGAGCGGAAGGGACATCATCATCGAAGATTGTTGGACAAGATTGAGCTGTAGGGCGAGAGATGCGTTGGATGCCATCATGCTGTTGCCGGGAGCTTTTGGACCGATGGTGCTACCTTACTGTGGAAGGAAGTCGGGAGCATAGAGTTAGAATCGGCATGGTAGATCAAAGACTGATACAGCGCATTGTCAGACAAATCCTCTATCCTCCTCGACAGCTCACCATCTGGCATGTCGTGAACGCTTCGTGTTTGTGCGAATGAAGCAACGGAACGGCCATGCCTCTAGTGACGCTAACCTCTCAAGTCTCCTTGCCAAGAGCGGAACCCACTTCAGACGCTTACAAATCCACAGCTCTATTTTTATAACGAGCCTGCCAGCTAGTGATACAATCCATGAACATATGTTGAGAAGAATTTCCTATGCTGGCAACGGTGGATTTCAGAAAGTCTTGTCCTTGAAGTACAGCAGCTGCTGCTTTTGTGTCCCGTTCATGTCACTAGTAGTTCTGCCGCATTCTACGCCTTTTGTTCGTATCTGTGTTTCAGATGGAACCCGAAGCCCACCAAAATTATACTAGCTGGAGAGAAAGGAGAGGGTGAAGCGAAGAGAGCGATGTTCTCTCGAGAAATATGGGAGAATTCCACTGTGGTCCGGCTCTGTGGGAAGAATATGATGCATGTTGTCCGTAACTTATCGAAATTCAACTATAAAACGCAGCGTGGAGCGTCTACCAAGGGAACAGGATCGAAAGATCCACAATTTGACTAGCTGAATGCAACTTTACATCGCGTTCTTGTCTCAGAGCTGCGGTGTACTATCGACCATCAAACGTGACCGCAAGACCGACGAGCCTGTGACGCTTGTTGGATCGGACGTGCCAATCGATAGGAGATCCAGGCGCTGTGGTCGTCGACATGAAAGAATCTCGACTTCCGCCCGATGCGGTGATCAGACGCCGACGACTGGTCCGGACAGCAGGGAGCGTAACCCGCAAAGACCGAAGCGATCATCCAGGGAAGTCGCGTTTAAAGATAAACCCCGGGGCAAGCAGTAAGGAAGTCGATGGAAAGACCAACGCTGGCTAAGAGTCTAGCGTGATCCTGGACGACGAGTCCGAACGTATCGCATTGGAACGCTTTCTGTGAAAAGGAACGTTGTCGTAGCGGTACTCGTCGCCAAAAGGATAGCTGAAGTCTCCGACAGCTAAAACTTGGAGGCTCGGCAAGTCCTCGAGGTCCGAACGCCCACTCGGCGAATCCAATTATACGGTGAGCTCACGGGGCGTGCTGCCTGATGCCACTAAATTCAGGCTCGCTGAAAGATGAGACGGAACTCGTCTCCGAGTCTGCGTCGTTCTCCCTGTCCCACCCTGCTCGTCGACCCATTCAGTAAAGTCGAGCGTGGCATCCTCCCCTTCGATCCAAGCAGCTGCGTGCATCTTCAAGAGCTCACACTTGGGGCCGAAGACGTAAAGATCGTCGTACCCAGGGGCAGATCTGATATGCAGGAGTTCGAGGGCTTAGGCGGCCGCATCCGACCGGATGTTGCTTCTCTGCATCAATGAGCACGCAGATCAGTGAGAATAATACTCGCTGCAATCATTAAACTCGGACGCGAATGGCTTCATACCAACTCGCCGAGGTCACAGGAGAGACCTAGACACTTCGGGTCTGCTTGCATAACCTGCATCGAGGATCCCCAAATCACTTTGCCATCGGACCAGTCTCTACGACGAGAAGAGGATATATCGGAAGCTGGGGCGTATGAGACAACAGCAACTGAAACCAAGAAAAGAGACAAGGATGAATTCTATTCCTTGGAAGCTGGAAGACGGGATGAGGTCACAGGATCAGCCGGCGAAAGCTTTGATGTTGTACAGACCGTTTCCCGACCTTGTCCTGTCTAGCTAAAACCTCTACGATGGACGTAGCCACCTTCAAAGAGATCATGCGATCTAGTCCACTAGCCTTTCCAGTGAAAGCCCTACCTATCTCAAAAAGCGGTATCCTGTTTTCACGCGTGGTCGGAAAGCAGATTATCGCTTGGGGCACCGGTCGAGTCACGATTGGAGATGCCCTCGATTGGCAGGGTGTGTCTCGTCAGTACGTCAGGCTCGGAACTTTCACGCGGTGTCTCGCCGCTCTTCACGCCAGTACTGGAGTCCTAACAACGCATGGCCCAGTCTATCTAGATGGGTAGGAGCCTTTGTTCCTAAAACAATCTCTTGTCCCCCATTACCAGACCGGAAGCTCAAGCTGAACTTATGACATCCGAAACAGGAGACGTCTTCCAACAAGATGACTCCCCTCACCTATAAACCTTATCAGTACGGACACAAAGCACCCTCCCCCGGCGCCCTTCAAGATGCGCACTTATCAATCTCATACAGCAAATCTCCCCTGCCTTGTCATGCACATACGCCTGCGATCTCTACCCCAGCCGCGGAAAATTTCAAGGCTCAGCATTGTATCTCCAAGTTTACATTAGTGATGAAGCAAGACGTAGGTCGAAACGCACAAAACAATACCACTCTCAGTCGATGGATAGAGTACTCCTCAATGTACCTTCCTGCCCACATCTTGGAGATTGATACTCTGGCGGAACAGTCATTGACGCATCACTGTTGTCCAGGGACAGTGAGAATGAGGCTGAATAGCTCTCAACGACACCGTTCAAGGGGATTCATTCAAAGGACAGATGCTTTACCCATCATTAAGAAAGAGTGATAGAAGCATACTAGAGCGTGCGAAGACAGTATTCAAGTACCAATGAGACCGTTACATGTAGCTGGACAGGATCAGGTGTCGAAGTTCTCTCGACTCTGCGCTAATTAATTTAACGTTTTTGATATGTCAAGCCATCTCTCCAGCAAAGATTATCAAACCCTCAGTCAAGGTACAATTCATCCGACTTTGAGGTCATCGACCAAGCAGCCTCTGTTTTCAGACGCAAAGCAAGCGCAAGAGCGAAGCACTAGCTGACCGCTGATGGCCTAACGAACCAACCCTGTCAGTTGCCGACTCAACCTATCCCAGGCTTCATCGCAGCTTGCAAGTTCATTCGTATCTGCTACCACCATATTTAACAAATCTTCTCGAACCCCCATGTCTGTCATCACTTTCATGATTCGACGGGCAAAGTTCGGGTCATTCGTAGCCCAGGACCAAGGTGCCGAGGCCGCAACAATACTGGGTCCGCTCATGCCTTCGACAAAAGACTTCATGATAAGCCTAGCGATAGTCTGCAGTGTTACTAGACTCTTCGGATTCAATGAGTGTCCCGGAATCTGCCCTTCGACAATTTGAATTGGGCCCTCGGTGTGCACAAATTGACTGTTGGGCTGCACAATGAGGACGAGATCGCCGGGAGGAGAGAGTGTAACGTGTCGGATGGAGATGTTCCAGTGGTTTGGCACGAGCCCAGATGGTGCTCGGGCGGGGCGGGGAAGAGCATTGAAGTTAAAGATGAGATCTTGTGGCCTGTAAGTACCAAGAAATTTCTGCATTTCCTCCGCTGCGACTTTGAGTTGTGGCCCGATCATGGGAGCCGGCGCGCCTCGTGGGGCGCTCTCACGAATTGATGCCTGTTGATGGGGTCAGTGTGCTACAACTGGTGAAGTCTTCGGACCCTGTCGGCCATATTGTGACTAGGAGTACGAAAAGCGCAAGGGAGACGTACCAGCTCGTTGTTCTCCTCCAATAATTGCATCACTACCCAAGTCAATGTCTGATCAGCGCTGTCCTCGGTGGGTACCCTCGGGTAAGCAATCTGGACTTGTAACTCCAGTTGCTGACGAATGGTCTTCAGCAGCTTGGCACATTGCTTGGTCAGGGTGACGTAGTCGAATTGTAGGCGCTGAGTGACTCGGGGCAGATTGGCCTCCAACATGGCAAGAAACTGCAGATTCGTGAGAGGTCGCTTCCACGCATCCCGTTCTTTCCTTGAGGCTCTCGGTCCTGGGTTCCTAATAAGGCTGTCCAGCTTTACTAGACAGATCTCCAGGGATGACTTCTTCTCGAAGTATTGGCGAAAGATGCTTGACATCTCGGTGACCTTCAATTTGGTCCCGTTGGCTCCTTGCCGGATTCGTATTCTATCATTGTTGGTACGGTTTCTAGGATTTCGAGAGAAATTGCTCGTCGATAAGCCCAAGGCCAGAGCGAAACGAATGAAGAACTCGTAGGCTGATAGAGGAAGATAACCGGCAAACAAAGCGTCCATGTGCAAGTCGATCAGCTCTTCCATCTCTGGCCAAGTCTTCGAGATGCTGGACGTTTGTCGCAATGCATTGTAAAGATGCGCGGTAGGCCATATGCTCTTGTGCCAGTTGCAAAGACTAATGCCAGAGGCTTCGAAGTCCGTGAGCATACTGAACGACACTAGTCCGCAGTAGATTGGATTCGTTGTAAGCAGAAAGTTAAGATCTTCTGATGGCTGGATCGGCTTTATGTTCAGCTTTCTCGCGGTCTCCTCATGTTTCGGGTCTACGGGTCCCTCATCTGGTAATTTACCTGCGTCCACCAATTGTTTTCTCAACTGCTGGTGGAATTCGGGGTCACGGACATCAGCACCTTCGGGAACTCGATGTACATTCATTGACACATTGCTGAATTTCGGGTTCTTGGGAGGCCTTGTCATGGAAGCTCGCAGTCTCTCTGCCCCGGAACCCTCAGATATATCTGCCTGCTGCGGCGAAGGTCCATGCTGCGGCGATCTATCTGGCCTGAGGTCTTGGAAAGGCTCTTCGTTGTCGGAAGCACTCCTAGAAATCTGGTGCTCCTTGAGCTTTGGAAATGCATTTGTAGGAGTATCGAGGATCCAATACATTGATGTCATTTTGATCCGCATGACGACGTCCACGTCCCTCTCATGCCACCGCTCGCCAGTACCTCCGACATCCCACGCTCCGTTGACTGCTTTCAGGTTCATGATCTTATCGATTTCACTGGTGGTCCGCAAAAGGTCTTGGTGACCTCTTTTCACATCGTCCCCCAAGATGTCTTGAATATCAAGAAAGACTTGAGCTTCAAAAACCAGCGCGACACTGAGAACACCCTTCTTCGTCAGCCTATCGAGGCTTTCGCTGAATTCGTCCTCTAGAGGTGGTGGAGTGAATACTTGTCTCCCAGCTTCCCTCCATGTGTTCCATAGCTGCCTATCAATGATAAACCTTGATAGAGTCAAGTCTTCCTGCTCTTTCTTGTCCATCTCCGGCGTTCCAAGCAAATCGGGCCGCGAAATGTAGCTAAATCTTAGAGGGGGGCAAGGCACAGGATATGAGAGCTCACAGTCTCTGGGGAGATCGGCCATGAACGTGAATTTCATCAAGATCCGTGCCGTTGACAGATAAATAAAATCGTCGAAGGGCGTGATTCGCAAGCTCTCATTGCTGTTCAGACGAGCTTCAGGGCAAACTCCCTGTTGGAAGGCGTCGGCATAAAAGACTATGATGGCAATCGAATCCCAAGATCGTTTTCTGTTGAAGACCTTTGGGGCTTGGGCAATGAGGTCTTCCTCAGCTTGCCGTACCAGGTCGAAGGCAGCATTTGTTGTTATAGCCGCGGTGTGAAGGTCACATTTCCTGGCTTTGTATTTGCACCACAGCTCATTGACAAATTCTTGTGTGCGATGAAGGTCCTCGAAGAAGCCTAGTGAGCGTTAGCCTTGCCAAGCGAGAGATGAAGCGACACTGACAGAAGATAATGAATGCCAACTCTTCATCAAATTCGTCCTCGTCTTCGAGCTCATACACGGCGACCACGGGTTCACCTTTCGAGGCCTTCGTCTTTTGCGCCACGTTCACCGCAGCAGCTACTTCAGAGAACTCCGCAGAATCGACATCCGGGCTTTCTTCCACCTTGAGCGCTGCGAAGCGGTTTGTAACGCTAGCAGTTCCTTCAAGCGAGGGTTCGTCGTGCTTCCGATGCTTTTGGGCAGATCCTTCGGCTTCCACACAGGGCTCCAGTATCTTCAGGGATTGTTTCAGGATTTCGATAAAGTGAATATGCTGCTTGTCAGCGTATTTGTTATGCACACCAGACTTCTGAAACCATTCAGAGCATCTTTGACGGGCTCCAATAGCGCGCTCGACAACACTTCGGAGGCTTGCGGGCATCTGAACGCGTGATGTCTCGTGAGATTGTGTAACAGCTTCTGCTTGACGAAGCAACTCCGCTGTGGTGATAGTGTATTTGACAGTGGACGGCGCCTGTGATTCTGAAGTGTCAACATTTACTTTCTTTGCTTTGTCGGCGGCATCCTTGACGGCTTTCCGTTCCTTGCCTTTCAGGCGACCGATCGGTGGCAGAGCCGACTCAGGAGTTGCTGCCTTTGGGATCTCTGAGCACCCAATCGGTGCCTGAGGCTTTGTTGGCCCAAGTTGCTCGGAGTGTCGACGCTTCGTCGCTTCTGGCTTGTAGCCACACGAAGCGGCCGCCTTTGCAAGCCATGTTGTGAAGAGGGCAGTGTCCTGCTTGTACCTCTCATACGACCCAGCCAGAAAATCTGGAAGCATATTGGGAAAGTATGGTGCGAGAGTAACACGTTGAATGGAGCTTTTGTTCACAACTTAACGCGTTGGCGGCTGTTAAGCCCAAACTGTTTGTTTCATAATCTGTAACTTTGGCTGAGTAGCAAACTTCGTAACTTTTGTACTGGAATATCTTCGTAGTCAGTAATGTAAATTATGTATGTTTTATGCTTTCTATAATCTTAAGATTTAGCCTATCTATTAAGGTAATATCTAGGTAAAGTATTGAGTGAAAAGTTTTCGGCGGAGAAACCACTGTTTTAACTTTTAAGAAGTGTTAGAAGTGTTTTTTTGCGGCTGTCGGTGTCAGAATGGTTCCATAAATCTTAACGGTGCATGTGGGTCCACTCGACTCGAAACCAGGACATATTTTCTGCGTCTCAAAACGAGCAGCCAACAAGAGCTTTGTGTAACGCGTAATGCTGGAACTGGCTATCAACCCTTACTGCAACCAGTGCAGACGGCAAGTCCTCGCACCTGGAGTCCCGCCCTCTCCATCAATAGCCCTCCCCTCACATCCCCGTCTTCTCCTTCAACTCCCCAATTTTCTTTGAAGCGTCGGTTTTACCCATGTTACCGGTCTCTACCTTCTCGCCAGCCTCTCTTGCCATAGCCGCAATGTATCCTGTCTGCTTCCCCGTAGCCTGATCCTCCCCGGTGCTCCAGCTATCAGGATTCTGAATTGGCTCTCCAGCAGTAGCACCCGGGTTCTTGGTCTCGGCGTTCTTGAGCTCGTTGATTTTCGAGGACGCCTCTGATTTGTTCATGCTAGAGGGATCAATCTGGGCGTCTTTATCGGCTGCAAGAGTGGAGAGGAAGGCCTTTTGCTTCTCCGTAGGGGCGTCGTTGCCCGTAGCCCATTGAGAAGGCTTGTCGAGTTGGGAGGTCATTCTGAAAGAGCTGTCGTCGAGGTCTGGAAGTCATTATCAGCGTGGTTAGAGACATTTTGCAAAAGAAGGTACCTTCAGAGTGGCAGGCCCGCTACATTAAAGACAGTTGGTGGTGGATAAGTAAGGGTGATTTGCGCGGGTATAGCTTTTGTAGGAAGCAGAAGTCATTGTTTACAAGCAAGCATGCGCGGAAAGCGCGAAGAACGTGTTTTAATGACATCAACACTTGAACGACGACCGGACTTCGTGACGGAGACGAATATCATCGGGATTAGTTTCAACTGGTGCAAATTGGGACTAGCGTCAGGATTGTGGCGGTTCGGAGCGCTAAGCCTATCTGAGGTCCTGAATGTTTTCAACCTTGAGAACTCTTTCAATTGGATGTTATTGAACGCTGGAAGCCGTGGAGGAGTTCCATTCAGGATTCAAGGTTGATGGTATTCAAAACCTCAAATAGGCTTAGCGCTCCGAACCGCCAAGCCTGCTGGTCTGCTAAGGTATGGGTCATGATAGCACCATGTTGTATCCCTATCTCTATTGATGAGCCTGTGACGCTGTGATCCTTTATTCTCGACTTCCCGAGCAACGTAATGAATCGCTTCCGCAGAACCTTCAATCGCAGGCTCAATATGGCACACCAACCGTCGCCAGCCCCTCCAATTCAGCTAGCAGTCCCTACAAGATGGACAACTCAAGATTCCAACCTCGCTCTTCTCGAATGCCTCTCGATGGCAACACCAACAAGACCAGCTCTGCCTGCTGAGCTCATCCTTCAAATACTCCGCCACCCGACTCGCTGGGTTCGTCTTTACAGCATCAGTCACCCTCCTTCGGTAGAGGCTGGTAAACCGATCGTCGTAAGCGTCAACAAACCTACTGGCATACCCATTTTATATACACGTCCCTTCTCCGCACAAGAGGTCGCGCTATTGAGGCAAGTCGTGTTCACGTTTCGCAGCAGAGATCAGGGCTTCAGTTCCGATCCGGACCAGGGCAGCTGGAGCTGGTTCGAAGCTAGCCTGGCGCAATTTCCCGGTACCGACGAAGATGGACAAGGCGAACTCCATAATGCGGCTGCGTGGACCGGCTCTTATGGATGGGTCGGGGAGTGGATGGAGCGACACAACAAGCGGCTGGAGAAGCAACCGAGGTACAAGATACAAACGAACAGGCACGCTTCAATGGAACCCGAGGAATACACGATCGAGCTTACAGATGAGCATGAGTTGGTGCAGCGGGTCCAAGAAGGGGATAGGGTCGTTCTTTGGGCGTGCGCTTGCTTCCCACAATGGGAGAACCGGGTTTATGAGGCTAAGATTACTGTACTGGGTATGGATGACCTGACGATGGGAAGGTGATCAATAACGAAACATGAGCGGGCAACTACGAGTACTGATTCAGCTTTACTCCTTTCATTTTGTTCCTTGTCAGAGCAGAAGATGACACACACGAAGGGCCGAACGATACGAAGCGTTCCTACAAATCAATGAACATGAATGTGAGAAACATTTGCATAGAAGACATGCAACCAGAATCGTAAACCTTGATCAAAATACGCCCTTCAACTGGCACGAGAGGATCGTTCTTATGAAGCGCATCTCAAAAATACCTTGGGTTGCTTTAATTGTCTGTGGTAAGATGTTTTCTAGAGGTCCAACCGTAACAACGGCTTCTTGCCCCGATTACGTACTCAATGCAACGAAATCTGGCCACGACGCAGACCGAACGCATGCTGATACCGTTGTAGCAGCTGCATCTAAGTTCGAGGACTCTCAGACATCGTTGTTCTTTGATCACTATTGAACCGCATGATAACGGAATGACGAGAGAGTTCTCGTATCTTCAGGTTATGACCTTGGGGTCTAAGTTCTGACTTTCCTGACTCCAAAAGGGGCAGAATCATTCCTGTCATAGTGAACGCTCAACCCTGTACGTGAGAAGAAAATGATTGGAAATCAAGAGCATTGACTCGGAAGTCCAGTGGCTTACGCCATGATTGGCAGATCGCTGGAGAATCCTCTGACCACGGAAAGGTGGGGCCGGAGTCACTCTCTAAGACTTCCCCTGAGTCACACTGTTTGCAGTGACCCACTTCGCTCAACATCCTCTCCAATCTTAATCAAGGTCCACGACTCTTGTCCCGGCCTTTGGGTCTGATTGAGGTCCATTACAAACGCTTGTTAGTCAATAATTAATCAGGGGTAGAAGTTGCCTGGGAAGTCATGTACCGCTGTCACGCTGTAGTAGCCACCGCCGCTTCCGTGGACAAGATAACACTATCCACGGAGGCAATGTTGACCTAGATGTTGCCATCCAAACCATTTGGGCAGGTGAGGAGGTGAAGAGGTGTGGAAAGATGAAGCTCTCATGACTTCAAATTGGGTCATGCTCGAAAGTGAAGGCCCCTTATCAGTGGCGACTAAGGCCGCTTCGGTAGACTGCAGACATTTGACTTGTTATTCCGAAGTAGCTGAAGGGACGGTGCAACCAAACAGATTGACTTGTCCCCTCATATTTTGACAGAGGAAGGAAGTTAAGGTCCAAGCCAAATCCCTGTGCCTGACTAATTTCTGCGGGAGTTAGGAGGCAGCGGCGCAGCTCAAGCGGTGTATTCGACCTGATTGGAGATATTTCAACCCCAGCTGCCACACTTTCGGGGAACGTTCCAGAAGAAGGCGCAAGAATTTGCCCCCCCAAAAATAGGGCGTTTACTGGGCGAGTATCCTCCGGTTGAGGGCCTAGGCCGAAAAGGGGAGTTCGGATGCAGGTACTTGTGAGGCTTCCAGACTTAGCATCAGATCATAGACGCGGAAACAAGGGGCAAAGTTTTCATGTTTTTTCTTTACAATATAAGAAAAAAGGGCGCTTTGATTTCAGATACTTCGCATGCTGCGCTGGGAAAGCAACAGATATCAACAAATGGAGGTGTCTGAATGGCAATGCCACTCGGAAAGGATGAGGTTATCATCTAGCGTGAATATCCGTATTCTAGGGTGAGAGATCAACAGCCTTGATCGACTTGCATTGCTCGCGAATATGTAGGAGGATGATTTCGGAGGAGGAACGACGAGCTTGGCAGCTGGAGACTGGTAGTGGGCAAGATACAAGTCGAGATAAGAATATCAGCGGAGCGGTCCGCTGTTTTAAGTAGGCACATTCAAAGCCATTCAATCCTTGCCACCGGCGCAACCTTATCAGCTACTTTGCTACAGGCAGGACTCCTCCGAGGCCTCCTCGCATTATTCATGCCTTTTATTCCCTTAATTTTCAATCTCCACCAATGAGAGAGACATGGTCAGTGGCTTTTTTTCGTGGAAGACGTCAAAAAGCTTCTCTGCAGCAGCCACAATGGGCTCTTCTACCTTCGCCACTACAATCCTTCGCTCTTTCCTCCTCTTGCTCACCCAAGCTTTCCTCCTGTTCGCCGAGTGTTTCCCCAGCTTCCAAACTCGGCAAGTTCTTGCCCCTCCGTGATAAGTGCGATATCATCTTGTCTTGTACATCATATGATTGGTATGTCTCTGTCCTTAATCACATGCTTCTAATTCTCAAGCTCGCCATCAACATCCTACCGTCGACATGCTCAGCTGGCAATGACCTGCCCCTTTCCCTAACCGAGCTGCTTTTGACCTTCTCTTCGCGGACCAATACCGCGGCGATATGAGGCCAAACTCAACGGTGATCGACCACGGTTCCGTGAAGCGCTACATAACAAACTTCAATTGGCTACTTCATCTGCAGGAACATTCGGCATCATTTCATCAAGGTTGCCTTCAGGTGGTAAATAGACGCCTTAGCGTTTTTTTGCTCCCCAAGTGATGATCATAAACTGTCTATAAAGAGTCTTTCAATTCCCCTTGCGAAATGCCCCATTCACCAGTCTTCAACTCACGGCTTTCAATTCCACCTTTACAATACATCTGTCCCAGTCTAAAGACCAGTCCTTCACATACATCATGAGCTTCATCAGAGTCTTTGGCGCGGCTTCGGCCCTCATCTCTCTTATTTCTGCTGTCCCGGTTGAGCTCGAGAAGCGCGGTGCGGCTTTCAGGCTCGATCAGACGGTACAAAAGCCATTCATCCTGTCTGGTCCATCTGCCTTGGCCAAAACCTACGCCAAATACGGCAAGGCGGTACCCGCTGTCATCGCCGCCGCCGCTGCAAACAATGATGGTACTGTGACCGCCAGTCCGGAGGAATACGACGCTGAGTATCTATGTCCTGTGACTATTGGTGGAACGACTTTGAACCTGGACTTTGACACGGGGTCATCTGACTTGTAAGCGGCATTCATAAGTACCCGTAGCCCACAAACTTGCAAATACTGAATTCCAGAAGATGGGTGTTCTCAACCGAGCTTCCCACAAACGAGCAGAGTGGCCACACTCTCTACAATCCTTCGAAATCCGGAAAATTAGACAGTGGAGAGACGTGGAGCATTTCTTATGGCGATGGAAGCAGCGCATCAGGCAACGTCTACATCGATAAAGTCGTGGTTGGTGGTACCACCGTGACCAGCCAGGCTGTCGAGGCAGCGGAAACAATCAGCGCAGAGTTCCAGTCCGATGCCGCAAGCGACGGGCTACTTGGCCTTGCATTCGATAGCATCAATACAGCGAGCCCAAACCAGGTGGCGACATTCTTCGAAAACGCCATACCCACTCTTGCTTCTCCTCTCTTCACTGCAAATCTGAAGAAAGGTAACCCGGGCAATTACAACTTTGGCTACATTGATTCCTCCGAACACACGGGCAGCATCACTTACGTCCCTGTAAACACCGCCAATGGATTCTGGGAATTCACCGGAAACGGCTATGCTGTCGGCTCTGGAACGTTCGTCTCGTCGTCGATTGACGCCATCGCCGACACCGGTACCACGCTTCTGTATCTCCCAGCCGCAGCTGTCAAGGCCTACTACGCCAAGGTCTCCGGTGCCACCAACAGTGCATCCCAAGGAGGTTATATCTTCCCGTGCTCTGCTACTCTACCAAGCATTACGCTTGGCATCGGAAGCTACAGAGCCGTTGTTCCAGGAACTTACATCAACTATGCCCCAGCAACTGGCAGCCGTAAGTTCTCACCCTGCCTCTGTTATTGGACACATACTAACAAACTTACAGAGTGCTTCGGTGGTATTCAATCAAATGCCGGCATTGGCTTCTCCATCTACGGTGACATCTTCCTCAAGTCGCAGTTCGTAGTGTTCAACGGTGCCAGCACGCCCGAAATCGGATTCGCCGCCAAGTCAACTTGAGCAGGTGGCTGGGCGAACTAAGGGAGTGAATACATGATTTCTGCATATTTCCTTATCTTCTCCAAACGTCTGATAGGTCAGCCTACTGCATTGTATCTTTGGAATCATTCTGCATAATCTCGCTGGCAAATTCGAGTCATGTGGTGTACGAGCATATGAAGTTTTGAGCATTTGATTCGCACGTACTCGTATATAAGACGCATAGCACAAATAAGCATATACCAATCATCACCAACCCTGCGTATTGAAGTCGTCGAACTAAGCTCAGCACCTGCCGCATCGAGCCTTTTCAATGCCGAAGGTTTCCTGCACGCCATCCGGGCACCATCGGGTGATCCCTGAACGCTTATCATTGAATTCCAGCGAGTCCCATCCGAACTTGCTCGTGTGCTTTCTGGTCGAAGACGGCAATGATCCGCCGGGCTTTGCGCAACGTCCCGGACGCCCAGCCTCTAGACCCGCAGCTCTCATTGTTGTGATGACATTGAACATGCTTCCGAAAGGCTGCCCCCGTGGGGTTTGCCTGCCCGAACTTTCGACATTGGCATTCACGGGGGGAAAAGCTAAAAGGAAAAGCCACAAAAGCCGCTTCTCCAGACCCGAACCTTTTTTTTCAATCTCGGCGACTTTTAGCCAGAGGGAAGCCGACACAATACTTTCCGGCCCATCGACGAATCGAGCAACCGACAGAAAGGATCCAGTCCCTCGAGCTCACTGCCGAATCTTATGGGCAATGATCCCTTTAGAACGCCTGCCCATGCTCTACACTGTACGGAGCCCACCGACCTCCTCTTTCCGACACCTCACGGCTTGACCTCCGCCGTCTTCACTTTCGGCGCCGTCTCATAAGCATTCGCACCCTTCCTCTTCACCCTCCCCGTCGCACTTTCCCCTCGTCCCCCATCACCGTGATCATGCCCACAGCCCTCGCCCGGCTCACCGTGCCGATGCCTCTGCTTCTTCGCTTTGCCCTTCCCGCCCATGCGCGCCCGGCCATCGTTGTTCCCGCTGTCGTCGCCCGCGGAGTCGCTGTCCGAAGAGGAGCCGGAGGAGGACTCGGAAGAGGATTCGCCGACGGGGCGGGGCGCGTGGTAGATGCAGCAGACTAGAATCGTCGTGCCATGTCAGTCAGTCAGTTATGGCCTCGTAGTAGGAGAAAGGGGCCACCGGGCGTAGATGCACGAACCTTTCGATGTCTTCCGCCCCAGTCCCTCATTGTCGACGACGTCTTCAGCCCATTGTATCCGCCTCCGGTTCTGCGGTGAGGGAGCTGTAGCACGCAGGCGGAGAACGGGGTTTGATGTTAGGGTTTGCGTAGCTGTGGCCGCTGTAGTGGTGGTGGAATGGGTGCGGGATGAGGTTTGTTGATGCATGGGAGGGGCCATTGTGTGGAGAGAGTGTGACGACAGCTTCGATAGGGGAGCCTAGGCTTCGAGGGGTAACGGAGGAGCTGGATATGGCGGATATAGGTCAAGAGATTGCTAGATAGATTTGATTCGAGGAAGTGTAGAGAGATGAGATGGGGATTCTTTGTCGGCAGCATGTAATATGTTAAGCAAGCATTTCTGAGTTAAATCTAAAAGATTGATCTATTGAGGACTATTGATAGATTGAGGACCCCACATTCACTTCCACGCGGGTGACAGAGATACCTGCACACCTGGAAATTTGATAATTTGATGATGATTTCACAAGGAAAACCCTAGCAGAAAGGTTTTGCGTTGTGATTCAAAGATTTCGATAACACTAATATACCGTTGCGCAAAATTGAATTCATAAAGAGGGTATTCGTTGAGTTATTCCAGCTGACAAGGTGAAGGGATTTCTTGATGTGCACAGGTATTTCCGTCACCCGCGTGACTTCAGAGGGGGACCTGTCCATAGTTTATGATGTTGGACAGGTCTGCCCCTACACCGACACATCCCGGATTGCCTGTCCACAAAATGTACTGATGAAGAGGCTAGGCGCAAGCATCACGGAAATATCAAGCACCAGACCAGAGGTCTCATCTCCCTATGTGACCACTCTCACAAGACCTCGGTTTGCAGGGTACTACACCAGGTTCTAATCCAATTTCATTACCCGATCTAGTGTTCGAGCTCTGGGTCAGGGTTGATCGATACGCTCTCTATCTGGGCCCAGCTTCTAGCTATAGCGTGTACTTTCGTGATTTGAAGTCCGATGCTCCAGCTCAACGTCTCACTCCAACTCTTAGCTGTTCGTCGTCTGTTTGTTTGTGGTTCTTCATAAGATGCTCAATGATTGAAGTCGGACGTTGCAGCTCAAGTTCTCGCTCCACCCCGCAACGCTCTTCGTACCGAGGTGTACATTCAGCACTTCTAAGGCGCCTGACCACCATGCCTCGTCAGCATAGACCAGCTTTCGAGGTAGCTGTGAGTGCCAGCTCTCTTTTCAAAATCCCGTCGGAGGTCCGCATCATGATCTACAAACTGCTGCTCATTCAGAAGGAGGGCGTGTTCATTCCCAGCGACAGATTCGCGCGCAGAAACTATGGAAGAACAAGTTTCATACCGTACGAATGCCTGTTTTGCGGGCTCGTTTTTCTGAGTAACCAGGGCTGTGTGCAGCATGTCGCAAAGCATCACCGGCGCGCAAACCCAGTCTATCAAGAACCGGTACGGCCTCTTCTCCCGGAGCTGTCAACATGACTTCTTCAGACTTGTCGTCTTATCCGACTTGAAGCCAGCCCTATTCTCTATTCTAGAAACAGTTTCCATTTCTCTGATCCCGCTACTGCGAGCAGCTTCCGCTGGGGCACTGATTGCGCACAAGCTGGGCAATCCAGGAGATCGGGATCAAATTTGCCCGCCAACATCACAAACAGGTCGCTTCATGGGTGACATACCTCACGAAACAGAGACTCAGTCTCGGTCAAGACTTCCCTTATCTCAGGCGTATGACAATCGATCTCCATTTGCGCCTTGGGGCAGAGGAGGCGAATCTTCTACGCTCGATGTCTGAAGCTTTCAGAAGGAGGTCCCAAGGACTGGACTGGGTGCTTGTCTTGAAGTTGAGTCATGAAAAGGTGCTTGACTGCTTCGAACCATTAGTGGACAGAGGATGACTCTAAGAATGGCAAAAAGGAGGTGCGAAGGCATGCCTGGGCAAATGAGACAGGAGGTCTTTGGAAAAATGGCTTACTTAGGTGGGGATTTCCGGGTGAAGCAGTGCCTCACAAGTACAGAGTGATTGGGGATCAACCGCAGCAACAAGTATCAAGCAAACGGAGCGACGAGGAGGGCTCTACGCAGCTGACAACCCCTGCCTCGTGATTTGCAGTAAAGCAGACACTCTACAGGTTAGCGTTGTATGTTGCTCGAAGACCAACAATTCGATATTGCATACGAAGAATCGATTTGCAGCTTGCGACAAATCCTCATACAAGTAACTGGGGCGTCACTGAGACTGAAGTACGCTCCGCAATGTCCTTTCCGTAAGATGTCAGAACCCCTCACTTTTGGCTACTGACCGTTGGCACCCCATCTTGTGGAAATTATGCCATCATTGTGTTGCTAATTACATCAATTAGCTGTTGCCAGACTATATAAAACAACTTACAAGATATTCTCTCCTTACTGAAGGTTTTCCTCCGTTGGTCAGCACTGTTCAATCACTTCCGGTTGATGGTACATGACTCTTCTATTTAACGTCGCCGGTCCTTGACAGAAAGTACAAGCTCTATCGTGTTCAGGAGCTGTAGCTTGTTTTCTGCGTTGCTGTGTACTAGATTGCCTTGATGAACGAAACAAAGCCCGTCTGAGAAGAGCATTTCTCATTTCTTCCAGAAGCTATGGCACCCAGCAAAAGACCTTCACTTGAGATGGCCGTGACCTCAAGTACACTCTTTGGTCTTCCTCTCGAGATCCGCACTATGATATACACACAACTGTTGCACAGCACAGCAGAGATCCTAATACCCAGCAACCAGTTCAAGCGGCAAAGGAACTGCAAAGGAGTTGGCATTTACAAGCACTGCGCATTCTGTGGACGATCCTTCGGACGAATCGAAAGCTACATGTGCCATCAGTACTTAGGATGCGGGCAGTCACCAAACCTCACAAGATGGCCGAAAGGTCCTGAGCAAGCCCCAAGTCTTTGGCCTGCACTTCTCAGGACGTGTCGTTTTATTCACCGTGAAGCTGCACCAGTGCTCTACCGGTCCAATACTTTCTCTTTCGAAGATGCAGCTACGCCAAACTTCTTTCGCTGGTCTACAGATCAAGCTCAAGCTCCCTTTATCGAGAGGGTCCACGTTCTCATGCCGTTCACGAGGCATAGGATACCGAGGAAAAGAGAAACATACCACTGCAGAAATCCTTGGTGGCAATACTGCATGGGAAACCCATTCAGCCTGGCAACTGACTTCCCTCATCTCAAGGGAATCACCATCACTTTGGGCCGAGGACTGGCTGTGGCTAGTTCACAGGATGTTAGGACAAACTTCGAACTGTTCGCCAAACATGTGTACAGGCTCAATTGGCTCCAAGTGATCGGACTGAACGATCCAACACTGCTTAAGTATCTCTACTCGGTTGTCGAAAGGGCAGATGAGGACCATGGTCGCAAAGGCATGCAGACGGAGATCACAGAGTACGAAGAGTGCATTGGCTGGAAGAATGCAATCATCTGGTGGGGCTTGCCAGGAGAAGAGGCCCCATGCAAGCCTACGCCGTATGCTGGAGATCGACGGGTCAGAAACCGTCTGTTTCGCATTGTAGATGGGAATGTGGTGTCATACGCTGCCGGCCACTCTTTCTTGGATCCTGGTGAATGAAGAAGATCTCTAGGTAAGGGTCTCCACCCCATGAGAGACGCGAATTCCGGTCTCCAAGGGGACTCTATCGCATAAATCCATAGACAGCCGCGGTACACATGAAACGTCTCACTGACACAGGTCGAGGCTTGAAGTTTTCCTTCCCAGGCTTGCGCCCACCGCTCTCTCCAGAAAATCTGCCCCCAAGAACTTTCCAGTCAAGTCATTCACGTCCTCAATTCAGCTACCTCGAGCCCCTACCAGTTCACCACAGTTTCCAATCCCTACCTGCAGTGCCTTCTTACAATGTCTCCTCGCCCAGTCTAGACCACGTTCCTCTCAGTCTGGAGTGGCGGGGAGGGTGTGAAAACGGTGAGGGTGCAAGGAAGAAACGGCTGGTGGAGATGATCTGTCTGTATGGTGGTGTTGCGTGTAGAAGAGATGTATTTCCTACGGCGAAAAACTCGCCGCACTTTTGCCATCCTGAGCCAATGTCACGAGTGCTTGGACTTCGATACCGTTTGGGTGTTGTAGACAGCGACGGGTTGACAACGAAGCACGAGTAAAGCGACGACGAAGAAACAAACATCTCCCCTGCACCCCGCCCACTCAAACCTAAGACCCCTCATCCGCTCAATCTCCCTACTCGAACGTCCAACTCGCCGCTCGAGTATCATGTCCCAGCTCACGCAAATCTTCTGGTTCCAGGGATGAAGTTCACAGCGAGTCGCATAGCTCTGATGCAATTCGGTTTCCGTAGTCCATTCTCTGCCGGGTCTCGGCCGCTTCTCTATCGTACATTGAATAGACATCATGCACGTCGGAACACGAACGTTCTCAGACTGCAGGTCTGTAAAGTCACCAACGTATATCACACCATGTCGTCCCTAAACTCACGACAACCCGTCATCCTCGCACCCCCCGATGCCGTCTGGGTGTCATTGATCCCGTCGTCGAGCGTTTGGACGACATGTCGAACAAGCCATGATCTGCAATCTCATCTGCGAGGTCTCCGACCGCAAACCCTAACCTCGAAGCTCTCATTCCGTATGGAACTGTCTGTTTCCCTTATCAACCCAAATCGGCCGTGAACCGGATCCGATCAGCATACGGCGCGTATCTCACATACCTATACACCACCTGCCTCAACTCGAGCGGCAGTCGAAAAAAGGGCATCGGATTCTCCCTCTCCTCCATGATCGCCTCGATGGTCAGCGCGACATCGCAGACGGGTTCGAAAACGATGGGTCCGTGCCTGCACCAGTCGCTCGGTGTCCGATGCGTCCGCGAAAGCTCCGCCTCCGTGCCGTAATCCCACGCCGCGAAGCCTTGAGGGTTCGTCCTGAGGATGTAGGGCTCGTTGTGGATGTATGAAGGCCTGAGGCGCTGGTTCAGATCCTCGGCGCCGAGATGGAAGTGGTAGGTGTAGGTGGTGCCGTGATTGAATTCGAGGAGCCCGTTCGCGGGGCGGAAGTCTTCCGCGGGTCGGAGGGTTTGCTCGGGAGGATGTTTGGCGTTGAGCAAACATTCCCGCCCGTCGCTCTCGCGGGTGATTCTGAACATGTCATACGAGCCCCATTTCTCCCACCTGTGAGCCGGGTCCTGAGGCCACATGTCCGCAAAAGCGTCGAGTTGGACGTTCACGGTCACGGCTCTTCGCTCGAGCGACGTCACGAGCATGACGACGTGGAAGGCCGGGATGCCGGAGGTGTGACAGATCGACGAAGGGGCGGTGACGGACATTGTGAACCGGGGCTTTCGAGCGCCGGCGACGACCGTGAATGGAATTTCCCGCGGATCCCACGACGGCTCGATCTCGGCTTCCTGCCTCTCGTGCGTTTCCGGGTCTTCGTCCCCGATATCGCACAGGATCCCCATCGGCTGGCCCGAAAAGCCAACGCGATACATTCTTCCGGGAATCAGGTGGCGGCCGAGCGATTCCAAGAGCTCGGGGCTGATTCTCCTGAAGCCGTACGTGAACTCTGCAAACCCTGGCAGTACTGACATGAGTTCGTAGTACGAGCCCTTTCGGCTCTCCCCGAAATAGTTGAGGGGGATCTTGCTTCCACTCTCATCGGTGATGGTCAACGCTCCGCATCTCAAGCCTCGGCCCAAGTCGAGGGACTCGTCCTCCTTGCCGTCGCGATCGTTGTTCCGTTCGAGTTCGGCGTGGAAGGGGAAGCAATGTGTGATCTCGTCAGCTCCTTCGTTGCGGAGAGTCAGCTGAGGCTTTCCCACGAAGCCTTCGCGGAGATCTAGCACAACGTCTGAGTGCGAGCTCAAAGCAAGGTGGAGCTTCTCAGGCCTCGACATGCTGGCAGGACGGTGCGCTGCGCCAAGCTCGACTTTGGCCAACAAAGCGGTGAGAAGGCTTCGGTGAACAAAACAAGAGCCTAGGATCTAGGCGGATGTTTGACAGGTGTCGTGCAGCAGAGGCAGCCTGGTAGTGCTGAAATGAACGAGCTAGTGTCGAAGCAGACCTAATAGCCGCGAGCTTCACGTTTCCCGTGACTGCGTTCTTTATGTATATATTTTAGCCGCGGGCGTCACTGTCTCTAATAAGTGAAAGTGTTAATGTAGTACATGACGTTAGTATTTACCCCAATCGCACCTAACATACTACGTACTTCACAATGAAAGACGTGTTTCGGAAACGAGAAACTAGTCAGGGCATGGTTTCGGAACATCTTGGGTAATTGAGGAAGAAGATTGTAGAGCGAACGGCCATCTCATACCACCTTGTAGAGTTGTTCCTCTGGCTGCGCCGAGATGGCCACGGCAAGGTCTGCTATTGATACGAATGTACCGTAGGTTCGTCGTGGTGTGCAGAGAACGGATAGTGATTTGCTGCAAACCATTAGTCAAATATCAAAGAAGTCAACGGGCCCTGTGCCAAGATGCTTCATTGGCATTGCGCGGGTATTTGAGCACATTGTTCTTCATTATAGTCAAAGGAATTAGAGAATCGGGTCCTGGTTCCGGTGGTTTAGTATCAAAACCAGCGAAAAGCCCCAGTCTGTCCAAGCCTTGTGTATCAGTACTTTCACTGCCAATGCTGAAAGGAAGTCAGTCATCTCGACTTTGCAGCATTCCAATGGCAGCGATGAGTTAAAGAAGACGGTTACGCCAAAAAAATTCCGAGACGCAAAGAGACTTGATCGACTTTCGACGCCCCGGCAGCTGGGTACACATATCCATTGATTACTTCACTGCGGCAGAGTAGTAGTAGCAGCAGCAGAATTCGGCTGGCCAGCCTTCCATCTTCACTCCACTCCTCCCTACTCTCAAGCACGTGGGCATCTTAATTGTCATGTTCATTCGGATCACTGCAAAAGATTTATAATGGCCGTGACTGGGGAAACCCTCCTTGCTCTGAAAATAGAAAGTGGCCGTACACCCAGGGGTTCGGTTGTCAGCATTATGCAGCCACGAGATAGCAGGTCATGCAGGTTTCACGTAACTATTACCGCTTCGGTGAAAAAGATGTGTTTTGAGGAAGCACAGCCTGAATCCTTCCTCGCATCTGTGTGCATTGAAGCGTAGTAGTAGAATTGCGGTGAAGAGCGGAATGCTGAATGATGATTGGGTGAAGGCGGACGGGTGAAGCCGCAAATAAGGAAGCCGAGCAGTTACGAAAAGTTGGAGAAGAGAAAGCCGCCGTTGCTCGCGCTCGTCATCCCTCCTCTGCCGGTCCCTGACTTTAGCGCCGAGCGACATCTTCCTTTGGCTTAGCCTGTTACTTAACCTTCAGCTGCGCTTTTTCTTGCGATCGCGACCTTTTGTCCCCATTTACCTACCGTACCTCAGTCTATTTTATCAGGTGCACCAATATCACGTACGGTAATTCTGTAGACCAGTTTATCTGCTCAATCATTGGTTCTCGATGCCGATCCTTGCCGGGTAAGATTTACGAGTCGGGGTGAGGTTGAAATTGGATGTCGATTGAAGGAAAAAGATGCCTGTCAATGGTAAGATTGCGACCAACTTTAGCCCGCATTAGCCCGTATTAGCCCGCGTCTAGTCAATGCTTCTCCTCCCCTGAGCCAAGCCCCATCTTTCTTTGTAAAGTACCTTTCTTTACTCTTTCAACATCCACAACCACACGGGCATCAAGCAATTGCCCAACCACGGTCACTTTGCTGGCCATCCCTTCCTTTTCATCACTCATATCATCATATCATATACACTCTCCTTCATCCTCACTCTTTAATACTCACCCCGAGTCGTTCTTTCCCATTCATTCATTCATTCATTCATTGGTTCTTTCTACATACACGCTTGTCAATTGAGAAATTTCAAACAAAGCACAAAGCGCGTACTTTTAATACCTCATCCGGCATTTACTCTCTACAACAAAATGCAGTGAACAACCTACCAGTCCGAAGCTACTCTTGGCGTCACTCTCCACGAATCAACTCGTTCATTCTATTATGCCTCGACAATCGCATCGCAGCCGTCTCGGCCTCCACCTCGGCAAGAGACTTCCCACTGCCATTGCTTTGCCGGAACCTGCCTCCATCAAGAACCTCGTCGACAAGCCTCTCTCGGGACTCTCAGCATACTTCAAACGCGATGATTGCAGCGGCTCCAATAGCTCCAGTCCTGGCTGCCAGAAACCAACCGACAGCAGCAATGTCACTCTACCCGTCGTCCTCGCCGTTGTAATCCCTATTGCAGTGGCTATTCTCATCTTCATCTACCTTCATCGGAAACATGTCAAAAAGCTGCGCCGCGAAGACGCCAACGACCCACATAGATCTCTGGACTTCGGCTGGGACCCAGCTAGCGTTGCGCGTGCCAATACCAAGAAAGGCAAGAAGAACAAACCCGAAATGGTCGCCACGGATCCCGGTGCAGAGAAAGCCTTACGCCGTGAGCGTGGCATGTCAATGGATGTGGACATCAGCAGCCCGTACTTGTTGCCCCCTGGTCTCGGCGGCTCCCGCGAGTCATTGCATTCTATGTCACGTACCATGCACAGCCAAGACGATCGGTACAGGCCTGCGACCACTTACATCCCGGGCGACACTACCTCGGTTCATTCCTCCAGGACTGGACGGAAAGGTGCCGACGACTCATCAAGTTATGCTGGTTCCGGCTCAACCAGGCGTGGCCCTGGCGATGACATGAAGAAGGACCTTCTCGGAAATGCCCAAAGGATGTCGAGGTCCATGCCACCCGTCAGTCGATCTCCGGCTCCCCAAATCCAGGTGCCAGAAGCAGCAAAGCAACCCCCCTCGCAAAGCATCACCTTCGGGGCCTCAGAGCGCAGGCGTTGTCCCTAAATTCCCCCTGCTCGATACTCCCCGAGATTCGTACATAGATAAAAATGGTGCGGATCTTCGGAAGAGCAACAATTATCTCGGTGCTTTCATCCATAGCAGAGACCCCTCCACGGATGTCCTTACCCGAGACTTTGCATCTCCAAAAAGTGAATATGCGACTCCCAATGAATTCCCTTCGACTCCCTCGTCCACGATCCAGCAGATTGCTCCTTCTACTTCACTCCAACAGCCTGGCCCCTCCTCGATTTTGCAGAAGACTTCTAGTCGAAAGAGCCCTCCGCCAAACGTCAGTACAGAACCTCCCACGTCACGGTCGTCGCCACCAAATATCACAGAGATTCCCTCCACAAGAAGCTCCCTGTCGAGACCACCAAGAAAGCAATCTCTGCGTTCCTCTACAGAGCGAGGTCATTACGAGAACTTTCTGGACGATGCAAGCGATTATGGTGACGGCTCTCAAGTGGTGCCCCCATCGCTGCGCAGTTCGCAGGCCTCGCAGCACGAATTAAACCGTCAATCGAGTCAAGCTTATATGCCTCCTATCCATGAACACAGTCTTGGCGTCGAAGAAGGACACCGTCCGGGCTTCGATCCCCGCAGATCATCCATGGGCTTTCGACCTCTCCCACCGGATGATCCCACAGATAACCCTGAACAACGGGCGAACCGAATCAGATCTTTCTACAAGGAATACTTCGATGATTCCCGACCAGGGCCAAAGCGCGCTGCGGGAGACTACTATGAGGACTATGACCAACAGTATCTTGGCGATGGAGCTATCTTCGATCCGGTGTCTGGCCGAGCTCAACCTCTGTATGCCGCACCAAATGATCAACCTCGCGGTCGACCGTATGCCGAGCCATATGGTCGACGAGCGATGACACCGCCACCACGTGCACCGCCAGGGTACGGACGCCGACATGCTGCTACAATGTCTGGTAGCGGTAAAACGATGCCTCCAAGGTCCCGAGCTCATTCGTCTCACTCTGGTCGCTTCGGGCCCTCTGGCCGTGGCACTCCACAGAAACAGATTCCCCCACCACAGCCGTTGAACGTTCTCCCGTCTCCTCATCTTCTGAAAGAAGACACCTTTCTACCAATGGACTTTGCACCTCCCACTACCGCTAGAGAGCGTCAAGCTGGTCGTTCAGGAAGCCCGCGTGGAGGATTGAGGCCATACTCGCCAATCGTTCCAGCCCACATGCCCCTCGTCTCCTCATTCGATGACCTCGCCCCAATGCCTAGCCCGTAAGTTCCCCATTCCTCGGTCATAAAGCATCACACTAACGCAGACTGTAGTCATCTTCTCCGCAATTCTGGCACCTTCACCGCGCTCGACTTCGCCCCACCTCCTCGCTTTAGGAACAACGAGACCGCCTCCGACTCCGGCTCCATCCGCAGCAACCATAGCGGTGTATCGGCACGGACAAACCAGAGCATACGCGCTGGTGCATATCGTGTCAGTCGCATACCAAAGGAGTTTGTGGGTACGAAAGAGGATCTCAACGAAGCTCTGAAGCCGCAATGGAACATGCATGCATCATAGAACCTTTTTTTTTTTGCATTTGCATTCGCTCCGGCACGATCGCATGGCATCTCGTCAGAGTTGTCGCGCACCCTGATCGAGCGGTGGGACCATAATGAAGAGACGTACATGGTTTTGTACAGCATGTTGGTATTTACAGTGTTTCGACAAAAGATATAGAGCTAGGGGGATGATCCGAGGACTTCATCGGAAATATTGGATGGAGAGGTCGACTTCACTTCTCATGTAATCATACTTGAGAGATAATGGTTCGATAGCAGATCGATAGCGAGACCGCTATAATTAATCTCCATGCCTGATGCTGCCCCGCAACCGTGTACTATGACAACAAGCAACACCTCTTCGAACCCTTTTCTCTCGTCCCGAACTTCACGCACCTGGTACTCATCGCAACAGCCCGGTCCCTCTTCCAGCACCACCATCTCTTCTCCACCTCTCCCCCCACCCTCTCCCCCTCACATGAAATCATCCTCGTCGAACCCCTCCTCGTTGCTCCTGCCCCCCTCGGCCATGAGATCCTCATACCCCCCTCTCCCGCCTCTCCTTCTCCTCCCTCCGCTCCCGCGCCACCCCGTCCGCCTCCTTCTGCCGCCTCTCGTTCTCCGCCCGCTTCGTCGCCCGCTGCCGCGCCAGGTGCGCCTCCTTGTCCGCGGGCAGGTCGTCGACGGGGCGCGCCCGGCGCGTCTTCTCCAGCCGGTTGATCGTCGGGTTGAGGCGGGTGGGGACGAGGGTTTTTTTGGTCTGTTGGGGGTTTGGTTAGCGGACCGCATCGGACTGGGGTGGGTTGCTGGGGTCGTGTTGTGTAGTGTGGTGTAGTGTAGTGTGGTGTAGGGCCGTGAAAGAGCGAGCGAGCGGGTGATGTGGGAAGGGGAAGAGAGGGATGGGGATGGATGTATACATGCGGAGAAACCTACCCTTTTCGGATCCCGAAACCCCACCTGCCCCGTCGCCATGCCGGCATTCTTGTGCAGGTTCGCCCACGGCGTGTAGACGATCGTGACGTTGTCTTTCTTATTGCCTACGCGCACGCCGGAAATCATACGGTCCCATCGTCAGCCCCGCGGTCTCTATACCTCATTTTTGCCTCTTCCCTCGCTTGTATACACGCGGGGGAATGGAAACGTGTGTGCGTGTGGGTGGGCACACCTTCGATGGAATTCGCCTTGGTCAACTGCGCGCACTCGTCCACCAGCTCCTTGGGCAAGGCGTCCCATGTCTGCTCGGGCGTGAGGCGCAGGTAGATGTGCGCGGAGGAGAGGTTGTCGGCGTGGAACTGTCGGCACGGATATTCTCGTTTTTAACATTGTCGTTCACGCTTCCTTTCCCTTTTGCCGTTCTTTCTCTTTTTCGTCTCTGTCGGTGTGGGGGGGCCAGGGGGGGGGGGGAGGGTGGAGGAGACGGACGTACCCTGTTGACAGTGGAGTGTTAGATTCAGGGTTGGGGAAGAGGATAGGGAGGGGGGAGGGAAGTCTGTCGTCACCAGATATCGCAGTCCCAGCCGAATTTGATCAGTTCTTCGTCTGCGGGTGGGCTGGGGTCAGCCTTGGGTGCGAGAGCGAGTGCGGGGGGGGGAAAGGGCGAACGGACTCTCGAATTTATCTTTGCCTACGTAGATGGTGGCTGGGGGGTCAATCACGTTGGAGGTGAAGTAGTAGACCATTTTCGTTGTCGGGGGATGGTTTGTGAGAAGATTGGGAGGGCGCTGGAGATGGGAGGTTTACATGATGTTTAAGGAAGAAAGTGGTGATTGGTGGCGGATTGGCTGGGATTCCTCGAAGGGCAGGTTAGGATTGGATCACATTCTTTGATCAATGCCAGTAGAGACTGCTCAATTCAGGATTTGATTTTTCTTTGGTTTGTATCAGTGCAAAAGGAGGTTCGTAACATTCAAGGCATCATACATACCGTGCCAGGGCTCAACGATTGGTTTCACAGATACTGTCCAAACCCTTTCAACGTATGGGACATTTTTCATAAGTGTGTATACAGTTCGATTAATTGATGTATCCTTTTTGCGCTTCTGGTATTACCCTCTTCAAAACGCCTCAGAAATGATGGGATCAACCCCCTGAGTCTCCGCCAAAATGGAGGGACACGCGCTGACCGTATGTGAAAATGCCCAAAAATCTAAGGTATGTACATGAACGGATTGATAGTGGATCTAGTCCACTGAATCGAGCAGCATCGGATCCGGTAGCTGATTAATCTTCTTCTTGATTAACTCGAAAGAGGAAAAAAAGACGATGTTCGTAACACAAGAGCGTGCCATTGCAAGGCCAAAACCTATTGAGAAAGAATCCATGCATTAGCACATACTAATTCAATGCTGATAGTGACTGGCAACTTGCCTCGATAAGATTTGCGATTGAACCACTCTAGCTTCGGGTATTTCACCGCAGTGTTTCTCTCAAGGCACTTGCGCTGGTATTCGGTTTTTACAGAGTCAAAAGGATAAGTCTGGCGAAAGGTCAGCTCTTCAGTGTTAACCTTGACCACCCTCAGAACTCACGCAGGTCACAGACGCCAAACCACAAAAACCGCCAGCCATAGCTACAGACAAAGGAGAGGTTGGAGAATTACTGCCTTGTAGCTTAACGAGCATCTGCTTAGTGCTTTCGTATGTCGAGAAGTAAATCGCTGATCCGATAGTATCTCTGACTAGAGAAATCCTGTGAGCCGAGGAAGCGTGATTTGTTGTCGTTTAATGGACTTACCGATATGGATTCGAAATCCAGCGTACAGTCCAGGAAAGCCGCGGAGCTTGAAAATATTCATTGCGGTCCTGATCGTTCCCTTCTGTTGGTAGCTTGATTTGATCGGGTCTTTGAGCGCATCGGACATGCTGGATTTATTGCCCTTCGCCATCATTTCGGACGTTTGCGCAGCGATCTTGGTGATCTCGAAAGGGGCTGGAAGTATTTTAGATCTCGAGGTGGCATGACGTGCCAAACCCAAGACTTACCAGCGTAAAACGAGATGATTGATCCAGCGGTAGCACCAGCGGCCGCAAAGCATGCTATTGTTGCTAACGTAGGGATGCTCCCAGGCCGATTAACGATGACCAACGGCTCGTCGCCTCCAGTGGCTTGCCCGATGAGGGCAGAGTACTTGTATTTTGCCTTTTGATACACGGAAAACGACAAGGTCCTCCCGAATGTAAAGCTGAAGAACGGGCCCAAACCGCCTATGAGACACATGCAACATTAGCCTCGATACTAAGAAGCTCCTAAGGAGATGGAATATTTGATCACGCGACCCCAGCTGGAAGGTAACAGAATACCAATGTCTTCAATGTCAAGACTGCGCTAGCAGTGCTCTAGAAGGCCAATCACAGGTACAGCGTAAATCAATTGCCTCAAAGGTTGGATGCTCCATCAGAACACAGTGAGAAGTTTTGGACTGACCACGATAGAAGCCCTTGATCCCCTCCGTCTTGTATCCATCTTTCATGCACTCTATAATAGTACGGTGGCGGCCGTATCTTCTGCCATGTTAGACTTGGCAATAAGTTGTGGTCATTGTGGATGCACGTACGCTTGCATGCGAGTCTTGACGCTGTCCAAGGGATACTAAACAGCGATTAGAATGATCGCAATTAACCTCGACACTAGGGAGCTTACAGAAACTGTTTGAGAGAGCATGATGCTCATCCCGGAGGCGATGCTTGTACGATAGTACTTCGCCCAGTGTTTGGTGAGTTCAGGGTTCGTAGCCAAAGCTGATGGAATCTTGGTCTTCGAAGCTTGGTCCGTAGCGTCCCTGGAGATTGCTTCATCGCCATTGTGGCGGTCTTGACGATCGGCCATATTCATTTGGTGCATAGGCCACAGCCTCTTGCGCTGTGTGTAGTGCCGAGGCCTGCTAGCAGTCGCAGATGGATGAAGAACCAAGGGTAATCCATCAGAGGCTGCTCAGATCATACCATAGGTGAACTTCTGCTATCTGCTCGGCGTTGAGCCCTACTTTTTCAGGCGACGGCAAGAAGTGCAGCGAACCGAAGGATGCGGGCGAGCTCAGGTGTGGATAGAAGCTCGTTCGTTACAGATGAGAGAATTGGGACCTGGGGCGGGGGTGTGCAGGTACAGGGCCAAGAGGAGTGGAGTGGAGATTGATGTATCATGAGACGTGGGACTGTAGGAGATGGTATATAGATAGCCTAACACCAAAAAAGCAGCGAAAAGGAGTAATATAAATGTATAAAGAAATGAGAGGCCTTTGTTGAAGAGCCAGAAGTGACCTTGTTATACTCTACTAGTTTTTAGGGTAGGAAGAGGTAAGGTACCTACTTTCTCGCGCCCGCAGTTAGCCAAGTCAAAAAAAAACCACGCTTGGAGAAGTTAGTGGCACCAGTTACGGTGTTTGCGGCTTTTATTCACAATGCACAAAATTTTATACGTAACCGTTTGTGCATGAAATTTTCTTGGCACAGTTACCTTATGCCTTCATGGCTTCGGATGAGGATAGGGATCAAGACTCCAAGAGTCTGCGACGTTGACAAGGCTAAAGTAAATGTGCTCAGTTGAAATTGTAAGTGCTCAGAACCCGGAGTCGTCTGACCCTCTGGATACTAGCAGCTTCAATGTGCCATTGAGAGATTTGGAGCCTCTCAGCGCTTCCTCATCAAGCAAGAATCAGCACAACACGCCAATGCGTGAGCTACCATACCCTGCTTCACAGCTGTCATACAAGCCGCTAGAAAGACCCTCCGACGCCGGGTGCTGATAAACAAGCATTTTAGTAACGCCGAGGCTCCGAGTAGAAAGAGGATCGCCTTCGCATTCTCTGAATCGATCTTAATAATAGTAATACAAAACTTGAGATCTTGCTTCGTAGAATATCAGCAGCAGCTACAGCCGGAAGCTACCTAACACTTTAGTCGATTAGCTTACTCATCAATCAAGCACAACGATATCGCTCGAGTCCTTTTCTTTGTCAGTCACAAGAGTCATCGTCACCGCCGGGCAGTCGAACATTTCCAGGACGCCCCAGCAATCACATGA